TTAGTCCTGACATCATTCAATCAACGAAGCCACACCAACAGCTGCTTACATGCAATCTTCTTGTTATGTAAGAAAAACAAAGGTTCTGTTTGTTTAAGCCATTGGAGTCAAATTTTCTGTCCTTGCAGCTAAAATAACTTCTAATAATTTCTAATCAGTACAACCTCTCCCTGGCACACCTCTTCAAATCCCTCACCCTTGTCTTTCACCTGTTGTTCTTGCCCAGGAACACCAAATCCTGGTGTGTCTAGGGCTGCTGGCTATTCCCCAATACCCATTCTCTTTTTTCCCTTTAGTATTAGAACCCCAAGCTTATCACAGAGCCCATGGTCTTCAGAATAAAGAGATTCTCCCAGAGATCAAGCCACTGCACTGCTGCAATCTTCCTCGCCATTCCTGTTCCTGTGTCATCAGATTTTCACTCACTTCTTGATCGTTCCCAACCACATACAAACATTATGATATATCTGAAAAAAAAAAAAAACAACTTTTTCTAAACTCCTTATCTCCCCTGGCTACCACCTTATTTCTCTGCTCTCCTTTATAAAAGATCTGTTGGCCAGTGAGAGGTAGTGAGGCGAGTGTCATGGTCAGTGGCTTGTGTCAAAACTTGCAGAATGGGTGAAAGTAGTTTGAAAGCAAATACCAGAGACAGTAGTGGAGCACTCTTTTGAGAAATGTTCATTGCCAACACTCCTGATGACAGAGAGAATGATATTGTGTGAAAAGATGGACACTGATGAGTGAATTGAAAACTGATTCAGAGGAGTGAGATTCTGAATGTGAAGAAGTTTTAGGAGTACTTTAATTAATTTTGTTAATTTTCTCTTTGTCTTTCATATAAGAGTGATAAGTAATTTTTTAAAATTATGTTTACAGAAATCTAAAGGAGCTTTTTCAAATATAAACCAAAAAATTCCAAGTGATTAGAAAGCACTGGGTTACTGCAATTGGCTGAATGTTTTCTCTCTTTCACTGTGACATAAAATAATGGGTATCTTGAGCCAGCCCTGATGGCCTAGAGGTTAAAGTTCGCAGCGCTCCGCTTTGGCTGCCTGGGTTAGGTTCCTGGCCGTGGAACCACACTACTTGTCTGTCAGTAGTCATGCTGTGGTGGCAGCTCACATAGAAGAACTAGAAAAGGGGCCAGCACGGTGTGGCGCAGTTAAGTTCACTTGTTCCACTTCAGCGGCCCAGGTTTCGCTGGTTAGGATCCTGGGCGCAGACCTACTTACCGCCCATCAAGCCAAAGCTGAGGCGGTGTCCCATATAGAGGAGCTGCAACTCTACAACTACGCTACACAACTATGCACTGGGGCTTTGGGGAGAAAAAGGAAAAAAGAGGAAGATTGGCAACAGATGTTAGAGCAAATCTTCCCCTGCAAAAAAAAAAAAGAAAAGGCTATCTTACAATCTCTATATTGTTTTACTGGTGACAAACTACAAAAACTCAGTTAAATGTTTACCTTCTCTATGAAATCTCTGCAGAACATTGCCTAGTACATAGTAAGTACTCAATAAACTAGCTATTGCTATGATGATCATATTCTCCAGTGGGGGGACCGTAGGGCCAGTTTTTCAGTATTTAACTGGTAGTTCAGTGCCTTAGCCATTTCTTTGGTAAGATTAAAAAAAATTAAAAAGAGACATTTCCTATTTATCTCTAATGCCTACAGTGTGGCAGTTCCTTTACCTGCCTGGTGCCTAAGGCATGGAAAATCTCCACCCATGATAAAATTCTTCTCACACTCTCCCCCTTCCCAGTCCAGTGTTAGGGTAGCATATCTGGCCACCCTAACTCACTGTGATGGTTTCTTTTGGAATAGTTTCTTCTTTTGGCAATACTAAACATTCAGTTTAGCGTTAAATTATCGCTAAAGCATTCCATGCTCTGTTGCTTTTAATTCCCTCTAGGGTCAAATATTAAGGCTTATTCTTCTTTTTACATCCATCCCTCACTGCCACTAACAGTAGGCAGATACACAATAACTTTTCACTAAATAAAAGTGTACAAGGAAGGGAGTGAAAGGGAAACACATATTAAACAAACAAACAACCTTTAAGGGAGATTGTTGATCTGGGGAGGGATTGTTGATCTAGGGAGATTACATAGCCAGATCTCTGTCATTGTTTTAAACAAAGACCTGACCAATCAACTTGACTCTTAAAAAGTGTTCTGAGTCTTTCTTTAAGAAGCTTTTCAATCTAGGTTGCAAGCACTGTACCCTGGGAACTTGCTTTCTGGATTCTGAATTTGATTCCATTTGTGGTTCTGCTGTGTATGAAATCATGGAGAAGATTCTTAATTGCTCTGAGCCTCAGTCTCCTCTATTTGTAAAAGAATGAGCTTAATAAAAACTCTCAAGAAGTGAGCGTGGAAAATAAGGGAGCAAACTCCTGTCTCAGGGCCTTTGCACTTGCTGTTCCCTCTTCCTGGAACCCTCTTCTCCCAGCTGTCCACAGGGCTCTCTCCCTTCTCTCCAAGGGTCTTTTTTGAAATATCACCTCAGTGAGGCTTCCCTGATTATCCCATTTGAAATTGCACAACCCTACCTACTCCCTATCCCCTTTTTCTGCTTAAATTTTCTCCACAGCCCTTAATAAAAGATAACATATCTTTTACTTATTTATTTTGTTTATTATTTGGCTCCCCCTACTGGAATGTAAGCTCCCTGAAGGGAGGGATATTTATTTACATTGTTCCCTGTCATGACTATTTGTTGAATGAATGATAAACAACACAATAGGCGTGGAAGTTTTTAACAAGTGCCAGGCACACTAAGACTAACAAATGTTTTTTGCTCTAAAATGACAGTGGGTGGATCAGGAAATGTTTGTTTTATTCATGGACAAACTACAAAATATCAGTGGTGGCCTTTCTTGAAACAGCTGGCTCAGAGAATCTCACAATGGGAAGGAAATTTAAAGGTGGGCCAGTCCTGAGAGAGAGAGTTTAAATTCTTCTCTGCTGTTACCAATAATAATAGAAACTGCTCCCATCTAGACTCACAGACTTCTCTACACTTGAGGATTCTTCTATTTGCAACACGAGGATTCTTTTTATTCATTGAGGATATTTCCCCCTGAATGTAAAAGTAATATAGAAATAGAGAATTGTAGAAAATTTAGAAAATGCAGAAAAGAATAAAAAAAAATTTTTTTAATTACCATAATCTCATCACCCAGACACAAAGACAACTTCTGATACACAGTATTATCTTAACAGTTTAGAAATATACACGTAGATAGAAAATTTGGAGATCTCACTGCATGTGCTGTTTTGCAGTCTTTTTTTCATCTAACATTAAGTATAAAAACATTATTTTAAAATGCTGCACGGGGTGGCCCCATGGCTTAG